CCCCAATGTCCCCAGTGTCCCCAGTGTCCCCAGTGATGTCCCCTGTGTCCCCAGGCCCGCTCCATCCTGTCCCGTGCCACGCGGGTTCGGTTCCGCCGCGTGGAGGATCTGGCGGCGATCTGGTGCGAGTTCGGGGAGCTGGAGCTGCGCCACCAGCGGCACCAGGAGGCGCTGAGCGTGCTGCGGGTGAGGGGGCACCCCAAAAACGGGACCCCAAAAATGGGCACCCCAAAAACGGGACCCCAAAAATGGGACCCCAAAAACGGGACCCCAAAAACGGGACCCCAAAAATGGGCACCACAAAAATGGGACCCCAAAAATGGGACCCCAAAAATGGGCACCACAAAAATGGGACCCCAAAAATGGGACCCCAAAAATGGGCACCACAAAATGGGGCCCCGAAATGGGACCCCAAAAACAGGACCCTGAAATGGGACACCTCAAAAACGGGACCCCAAAAACGGGACCCCGAAATGGGAACCTGAAAATGGGCACCACAAAATGGGACCCCGAAATGGGACCCCAAAAATGGGATCCCAGATGGGACCCCAAAAACGGGACCCCAAAAACAGGACCCTGAAATGAGACACCTCAAAAACGGGACCCCAAAAACGGGACCCCAAAAACGGGACCCCAAAACGGGACCCCAAAAATGGGCACCACAAAAATGGGCACCACAAAAATGGGATCCCAAAAACGGGACCCTGAAATGGGACACCTCAAAAATGGGACCCCAAAAACGGGACCCCAAAACGGGACCCCAAAAATGGGCACCACAAAACGGGACCCCGAAATGGGATCCCAAAAACGGGACCCCAAAAATGGAACCGGGATATGGGAACCCAAAAATGGGACCCCGTCCCCACTCCCGTTTTTCCCTGTTTTCCCCGTTCCCATTCCTGTTTTTTCCCATTTTCCCCATTCCCACTCCCGTTTTTCCCCGTTTTTTCCCGTTTTCCCCATTCCCACTCCCATTTTTCCCCGTTTTCCCCATTCCCACTCCCGTTTTTCCCTGTTTTTTCCCATTTTCCCCATTCCCACTCCCGTTTTTTCCCATTTTCCCCATTCCCACTCCCGTTTTTTCCCATTTTCCCCGTTCCCACTCCCGTTTTCCCCTTTTTTCCCCGTTCCCACTCCCGTTTTTTCCCGTTTTTTGCCGTTTTTCCCCGTTTTCCCCATTCCCACTCCCGTTTTTTCCCGTTTTCCCCGTTCCCACTCCCGTTTTTCCCCGTTTTTCCCCGTTTTCCCCATTCCCACTCCCGTTTTTTCCCGTTTTCCCCCTTCCCACTCCCGTTTTTCCCTGTTTTTTCCCGTTTCCCCATTCCCACTCCCGTTTTTTCCCGTTTCCCCATTCCCACTCCCATTTTTCCCCATTTTCCCCGTTCCCACTCCCGTTTTTTCCCATTTTTCCCCGTTTTCCCCGTTCCCATTCCTGTTTTTCCCTGTTTTTCCCGTTTTCCCCGTTCCCATTCCCGTTTTTCCCCGTTTTTTCCCATTTCCCCATTCCCACTCCCGTTTTTTCCCGTTTTCCCCATTCCCACTCCCATTTTTCCCCGTTTTCCCCATTCCCACTCCCGTTTTTTCCCGTTTTCCCCATTCCCACTCCCGTTTTTCCCGTTTTTCCCCGTTTTCCCCGTTCCCACTCCCGTTCTTTCCTGCTTCCCCATTCCCACTCCCGTTTTTCCCCGTTTTTTCCCATTTCCCCATTCCCACTCCCATTTTTCCCCGTTTTCCCCGTTCCCACTCCCGTTTTTCCCTGTTTTTTCCCATTTTCCCCATTCCCACTCCCGTTTTTCCCCGTTTTTCCCGTTTTCCCGCGGTTTCTCCCCAGAGAGCCACGGCGCTGCCGGCGCGCCGGGCCGAGTTCTTCGACAGCTCGGAGCCGGTGCAGAACCGGCTCTACAAATCCCTGCGCGTCTGGGCCATGCTGGCCGACCTGGAGGAGAGCCTGGGCACCTTCCAGGTGGGCACCGGGCACACCTGGGCACACCTGGGCACACCTGGG